GTTCCTGCTGAGGTGCAGGTAGGTGATCAGAGGAGACTGACCCTGGGTGACCTGGAGCTTACTGGTGCTCCCAGCCTAATGCCATACGTGCACTCATCTGTGCTTCCTGGACTGGGAGTTCCGGGTTGAGCTGAGCCCGATGCACCAGGCATTACAACCAACTCACACACCAGAGGTCAGGGAATAAACAGGGTATTCAAGTGCAAGGACTCTCCTGCCCCACCAGTTGGACTCAGTGTGATCTGAGAGAAAGGTCCTTTCCTGAGGTTGCAACTGTTGGTTCCTGTCCTTGTGAGACCTATGGCTGTCACCTCCCTTCCCTGGACCTCAGTTACCTCAACCGGAAAATGGAACTTTCCAAACCTCCTTAGGGAGTTGTCATGAGCACCAATGGTGAAAACAGTCCTACAGTGCCAAGCAAATGGCCAGGTACTGCCCTGGACTTACTGGGGCCAAAGAGTGAGACTCGCTGCTGCTCCCAGAGGCTGAGAGTTGGAACAGCTGATCTCAATGGTAGAGGATGCAGAAGTGGGTGCCCTCTCTAGATCTGCCCCTTCCCATCTCTTCCACCCTGAGCAAGTCATCCTTTGCTTCTGAGCCTCACTTTCCTCAGTGAAGAAATAAGGACAGTAACACCCCCCACCTGCTTGCTTCTGAGATGAAAAAAAAAGGTGAAGCAAGATAAGCACCTAGTGTTGTGCAGTCATGTCTAGGCAGAGGTGGGGTTCCAGAGGATGGTGTTGGGATCAGAGCTCTTAGAACTCAAGGTCAGAAGTACCTTTGAGCCACCCTAGTCCAGTTACCTCCACTTCTGGTCAGCCACCCTGCAGACCCTGACTCTAAGTATCTAGAGAGGAGCTCAGGCATTCATAGTTAAAGCAAACTTATTCATAATTGTATTTAATCTTTGTTTTAAAAATATATTGGCCAAGAGAAAACTTCAACAGACCTAAAACATATGAAATGGAAGAGGAAAATAAGTTGAGTTCATTTCACATGTAGCTTTGGATGTGTCCTTCTCCTTCTCTGGACCATAGGCTGCCCAGCCTTCCCAGCAAGGAGGATAAGTTGAACTCTAAGCGCTCCTATGACTTTGATGTCTGTTATGTTTCCAATGTGGTTAGTTGACCCGGAGTTATCACCTAAAGGGAGGAGTTGATGTGAAACTATAAATGTGTTAAGTCAGGACTTACTGTGAGTTTGAACTGCAGGACCCAGGCCACACTGGCTTTAAGAGGAGAGTTCTATAAAGAGGGAATGGTCGGTGCAGAGGACCAAGGCAGCAATGAATTTTCTATTTTTCTGGAAAAGAAGGAAGACAATAGAGCCGTGGAGAGACAGGTATAGGTGTGTTTGGGGTGGCAGTGAGTAGATGACACAGGAGCCATGATGGGGACTTCTGTTTAAGGTGAGAGCTTTAACTTCTGGCAGCTGCATTGAGAGTAGAGGGGGTAGGGGCATGTGTGCAGAGGGATACCGCATATATGGGGTATAAACAGAGGCCGACTATATTCACTCTCAGGAGAAACTCTACTGACTCAGTGGAGTGGGCAGATGGGGGAGGGTGGGTCCTTAGCAACCTGTCATTGCAAGTATTTTTCCTGAGGCTGGTTCCACTGTGAAGGACCTTGTGGAGAGTGCTCGGACACAAGGCAAGGTTTGGGAAGAACGACTTCACTGGTCACTGACCCTGATGCTACTATGGGCTGCGAGTCTAGCCCCATCTCTGTCTCTGTCTTACAGGCTGGCTGCTTTCCCTCTCTGACCCTGAGTTTGCAAATACTGATAAAATTAGGCTAGATGATCACTATGGATCCTTCTACCAGAATATTCTCCAATTCATCCATTCACAGTTTCAGCCCCAGGCCCCCACCCACATGGCCACCATGTTGGTAGCTGGAGGCTCCATGAGAACCTGCTCTTATTCTTGGAACAAAGTCATCTCCATAGCCACCCAATTCAAGCATCCTGGCTGACCTTTGCTTTGGAAGTCTCTCTGTTCACTCTGGACAGGGCTCATTTTCATTGGAGTCTCCTTGGATGGCTCTGGACGCAGTGTTTGTTTGTTTCTTGGGGCAGCCTCCCGCTCCATCACCATCAATATAAGGGCCATCACCACCCAGCAGAATTCCAGGAGACTGTGCAGAGGAGCAAGGACTTTGTAAGTATTTTTCTTCAAATCTGTGAATGGTGGGCTTCCCCCTTAATGTCACTCCACATGGAGGCCTACAGAAGGCGTTGGGGACAAGAGGCATTGGGATTAAATTAGCCGCTCACTTGTGTTTGACTCTTTGCGACCCCATGGACTGTAGCCCGTCAGGCTCCTCTGTCCATGGATTTCTCCAGGCAAGAATACTGCTGTGGTTTGCCATTTCCTTCTCCAGGGGATCTTCCTGACCCATGGACCAAATCTGGGTCTCATGCATTGCAGTCTTTACCATGGGAAGCTCTTCAGGAAGGCACCAGGGAAGCTCTTCAGAAGGCTCTAAGGACAAAAGGCAGAGGGGTGGGGCCACTTGAATTAGCTAATGTTTTGAATGGAGCAAACTAAGAAATAGATTCAAGTAGGAGAAATGTCAGATTGATGATGAATGCAGTGTCATGATGTGCTGCCCACTTATTGGTTCATACTTTTATTTGGCAAACTTTATTTTGTTGTACTTACTAGCGGCAGTTTTTTACTTTGAGTTGGGAATTCAACTCATCGTGAAATACGTCACAATCCCCCCTCTAAGGAATTCACAGCCTGGTGGGAAAGGCAGCCAAATTGTCACTAATTGGGACCCAGGACTTTTAACAGTGAATAAAGGCAGCAAGATGGCCGAGTGAGTCCACCTAACTTAGTCGCTGGGGAGTGTTCAAGACGACATGATGTCCTACTGAAGCTGGAAAGTCAGTAAGAAGTGATTCAGCTTAAAATGAAAAGAAGGAAATGTTCCATGCAGAGAAGTTAGCATGTGCAAAGGACCTCTAGTAAAGAGAATTGACCTGGAGTCAAGTGTGACTTTTCAAATAGTAGCTCCTTCATTTAATGGTTGTTCATCTCTGGGCAAGTTTCTCTAGCTTTTTGACCTGGCTTGCCCATCTGTAAGAGAGGAGATAACCGCACCTGTTGTCAAGGACTGTTGAGTGTAAGAGTCGTAGGTGCTCATCCATGATGCCATTTCCCTGTGGGTAATTCTCACTCCTGTTCTTCCCATGACTATTCAGGTATCAGGGCAAGATGTTTCAGCTTTGGAAACTTGTTCTCTTGTGCGGCCTGCTCGCCGGGACCTCAGCGTCTTTTCTTGACAATATTGGCAAGGATGTTCTGAGGAAGCTGAAATCTGGTCTTGAGGAAGGACTTGACAACCTTGACAGCACACTTGAAAGTGAGTCAACAATGGATGATCAGGGGCACCTAGGAGCTTGCTTCCTACATACTATGCCTGTATTACCAAAGGCGGCCAGCAGGGGCAGCTCCTTCTGGATGGTTTACTGAGAGAGGTGACTGACTGATTCCTGGCTCATTTGTTTATTATTTTTCTAGAAACAGGCTATACTTAGCTGAATATCACTTTACATCTTATATCACGGTAAACTTTGCTAATATATTCATAGGATAAAATCCTCAAAGTGACATTTCAAAAGTTCAAAAGGCTTGCATATTTTAATTTACAGCACATATTGACAAATAATCCCGTATGTTAATAGTTTCTCCAGTCATCTGTGAGAGTATCTTTTTTCTACTCTCTTGACAGCACTGGTTTGGACAAGTGAGATTTTTTCCAGTCTCACAGATGAAAGGTTATAATTCGTCACAGCATTTCTCTAATTATGAAAGAATTCACTCATTTTTTTCATATTCATTAGCAATTTATATATTGTCATTTAAATATTTAATTTATATTTGTAGCATATTCTTCTGTTGGGTTATCCAATTTACTTAGTCATTTGTATTAACCAACTGGAAAAGAATTTCTACCTAGCCTAGGTAGCTTTAAATTTACCTACCATTCTAGTGAATCATATTTCCTTGTCATTCTAATTTCTTGAAGGACCTCGGTCCTTTCACTTTTTGGAAATGTTACTAGGACATTGCTAAACATTCTTTGTAGGAGAAGCTAACTTCTGTAAAGGACTGCCCTTCAAACCTTGCCAGGGCTTAGGCAATCTCATAGATATAGCAGGGACCTACTTTCCAATTTCATTGCCAGTAAAACAGCAATGCTTCTGAACACAGAACCAGAGGTGTATGCATCAGAGTCGCCTCGTAAGTTCTAAGACCAGATGTAGTTTCCATCGCTGCATCATTATAACTAGGCACTGTCCATTGCAGAGCCACGTTGCAGTACTTTGATTACATACTTTTTCTTGCAGCCTTTTCTTCTTCTTTGAGCGAGTTGTTGCCTTGTTGTTTCTCATTTGAATTATTTTCTACACATATTTTCTTAATACTTTTCAAATGTGCCATTCTGCATCTGCCATGTCACTTCCTCTATCAAATCCCTCTTTCCTCTGTCCATTAGGATTCTCTCTTCTTGTTCTCTGCTATTAGTTAATCCTTTTCTAGGCCTTATGCAAAGCTGTCATTCAGAGACTCCTATTCGACAATCTGTATATTTTCTCTGATTCTAGATTTTCCATTTCTTATTTTATTCTACATTTATTTTGTTTGTATGAGCAGCTCATTAGTGCTTCACTACTAGAAGCTGATGTGCAATCAGTACCTATTGACTGCTCAGTGGGTTGATTGCTTTGTTGATGAATAATGAGTATGTATTAGCATGAAGTCAGCATAAAAAGAACAAGGTCTCCTAGCTGTGTGACTTTGATCAATTTCTAAAACTCTTGATCTTTAATTTCCTCATCTGAAAGTACAGATATTAATAATACCTACTTTATGCAGTTGTTGCAAAGATTAAATGAAATAACATAGGCAAATATTCTCCTTTAGTACCTGGTGCGTAGGAGCTGCTTCATAAATTGTGTACCACACTAAGTGGAGATTGTTTTTGCAGCTATCTTGGGGCAATTGAAGGCTGCTGAGGAGGACCCGGAGAAGACTGAGGAAACTAAGAACTTGTTGGAACAACTCATTTCTGGAATTTTTGAAGTAGTGGAGGGGCTTACAGGGTGAGTTGATGCTTCATTTGGAGAGTTCTGTTCCCAGAAAAGAGAATACATCTCTTTGGGGACATAAGTTTAATATCAAAGACAAAAAGTGAAAGTGAAAGTCTCTCAGTTCTGTTTAGTCGCTCAGTCGTCTCCGACTCTTTGCAACCCCATGGACTGCAGCACGCCAGGGCTTCCCTGTCCATCACCAACTCCAGGAACTTGCTCAGACTCATGTCCATCGCGTCAGTGATGCCATCTGACCATCTCGCCCTCTGTCGTCCCCCTTTCCTTGTACCTTCAATCTACCAGCCTTAGGGTCTTTTCCACGGAGTCAGTTCTTTGCCTCAGGTGGCCAAAGCATTGGAGTTTCAGCTTCAGCATCAGTCCTTCCAATGAATATTCAGGACTGATTTCCTTTAGGATGGACTGGTTTAATCTTCTTGCAGTCCAAGGGACTCTTAAGAGTCATCTGCAGCACCACAGTACAAAACTATCAATTCTTCAGTGCTCAGCTTTCTTTATAGTCCAACTCTCACACCCATACATGACTACTGGAAAAGCCACAGCTTTGACTAGATGAACCTCTGTCAGCAAACCAATAATGTCTCTGCTTTTTCATATGCTGTCTAGGTTGGTCATAGCTTTTCTTCCAAGGTGCAAGTGTCTTTTAATTTCATGGCTGCAGTCACCATCTGCAGCAATTCTGGAGACCAAAAAAATGAAGTCTGTCACTGTTTCCATGGTTTCCCCTTCTATTCATCATGAAGTGATGGGACCAGATACCATGATCTTTGTTTTTTGAATGTTGAGTTTTAAGCCAGCTTTTTCACTCTCTTCTTTCACTTTCATCAAGAAGCTCTTTAGTTCTTCTTCGCTTTCTGCCATAAGGATGCTCTCATCTGCATATCTGAGGTTATTGATATTTCTCCCGGCAATCTTGATTCCAACTTGTACTTCTCCCAGCCCAGCATTTCAGATGATGTACTCTGCATACGAGTTAAATACCCAAGGTGACAGTATACACTCCTGACGTACTCCTTTCCCAATTTGGAACCAGTCTGTTGTTCCATGTCTGCTTCTATTTCTTCTTGACCTGTATACAGATTTCTCAGGAAGCAGGTCAGGTGGTCTGGTATTCCCATCCCTTGAAGTATTTTCCACAGTTTGTTGTGATCTACACAGTGAAATTTGCTCAGTCATGTCCAACTCTTTGTGACCCCATTGACTATGCAGGTCATGGAATTCTCCAGGCCAGAATACTGGAGTGGGTTGCCATTTCCTTCTCTAGGGATCTTCCCAAACCAGGCATCAAACCCGGGTCTCCTGCATTGCAGGCAGATTCTTTACCCTCTGAGCCACCGTGGAAGCCCCACACCTGAACCTAGCATAACATTGTAAAGCAACTAGATATCAATCTAATAAAAAAGAACAAATTCTGACTCTGACACCTATTCACCCTTGGAGTCTTGAGGGAAATCACAGCTGTCTGATCGTCAGTCTGCCATGCAATCCAGGGAGAGAATCCAACCCCTGAGCAGGACTCTCATGAGACCAAAGGCAAGGTCTATGAGGCTCAAATGCTCAGCACAATGCTGCAATAGACAAGAGCCCAGCAATGACCATCAACAGGAATGACAGGGTGAATTGTGATTTTTGCACAGGGTGAAAATCAGTAACCTGCACATCCTGGATATCACATTCGAAGAGACTTCTGATGGCAAAGGTGCTATAGTGAAAATCCCCATCACTGCTGAAGTCAACGTGAACCTGTGAGTATGTCTTGGAACTTGACATTTGGGACTTGCAGTGCATAGTATGGCTGCACTGATAGACCCCCAGTTTGAAATCAGGCAATTTATACCCTGCTACCTTAGTCTCTCAATCTATAAAATAAGAAGGTCTTTGCAGGTCTAGAATCCTAACCTTTAAAATGCTCTAACAGACTTTTCCTATAACCAAATCTCGCTTTTAAAAAATCCCTCCATGAAATACATTTTCAAAATCTTAACACTTTTCTAATTATAAAATTTGAGAATTGAGAAGACATGATCACTTATAACTCTTTGGCAAAGTTTACCCCAGCATCATTTTCTCTCTCAAGATTCTCATTAAATGGCAGTGACCAGTATAGGCCATATAGCAGTGTACAGTATGTAATGAAGAGCATGTGGAAATTACATGGAAAATATAATTTCTAAGTCTTTTAATTACTTTGAAGATACAGAGAGATAGGAAATGTAGGAGTCTTTATAAATTAAAGTGCACTATGACTTCATCATTCATTAGTTTGAGATCCTGAGATAGTTACTTAAATTCTCTACACCACATGCTTCCTCATTCTGAAAACAGAGATAGTGATAGTACTTTTAGAAATGGTATTGCTGTAGAGATTAAATGGATTAATCCAGGTAAACTGCATTTTTGGAAATACCTAACATAGTATTTTCTTAGGAAATGTTAACTCATTTTTATTTTAATCATTGGTGTGATACTCTATATAAATTTCACATGAGCCAAACCCTTGGGGCCAGGAGAAGAAATTCCTTATGTAAGAATGTAAATTCCATAAAGAATACAGATAATATTGACATTGTCCATTTGCTGTTCATCAGCTAAGTCCTATTCAACTCTTTGTGACCCCATGGACCACAGCACACCAGGCCTGTCCTTGTCAATAGACATCCCATATAATGTCCACACTAGAGAGAGACTAAAGTGGGCAATGTGAAGAGTCTTCACCTCTGTTCACGGTGAACCTATTTCCCTGCAGGCCTGTGTTGGGTGAGATTGTCGACTTGGCCCTCAACTTGGTCCTCGAGTATCGTGTCAGCGTTGAAACTGATGAAGAGACTAACGTCTCCACCGTGGTCGTGGAAGATTGCAGGAGCGATCAACAGAGCATCTCTCTCAGCGTGCTGGGCAGGTCAGGTGCACACATTTCAGCAGAGTGGGGATGTCAGAGGAGCTGGGACTCATCATCTCAGCCCTATTCCTTACCTGGGAGGGAGCAGAGTGTGAAAAAAAAGAGGTTAGACTCTGGAATCAAGTTAGCTTTGCCACTCACTTGTGATTTGGTAATCAATTTAGCCTCTAGATGCTTCAGTTTTCACATCGGTAAACAAAGGATGGTAAGAATACATAACTGATAGGCTACTGTGTTAGCCAAATGAGAAAATGCAAGTGTTTACCCTACCTCCTGCACATACTAAGCTCTCAGTAATAATAATATCCACGCTGACTTTCAGTCTCTTTGTTCTTCCCCTTACTGAGAGTGGAGTGCTGACCTGTCCAACCATAACTGTAAATTGCTATATTTCGCCTTTCAGCTTTATCTATTTTAGCTTCATGTTTTTTAAAGCTCTGTCGTTAGATGCATACACATTTAGCATTCTTATGTCTACTTGAAGAACTGACCCGTCTCATATTACATAGTGTCCCTCAATAATAATAATAATTCACTGTGTTCACCTTCCTGCCTCTTGTTAGGAGAGGGCAAGAGGAATAGTAAATGCCTGCTGTGGGCTCTAATTTCAGACTGTCCCCAAAACCATCCTCTACCCACTGAAAAATTCCCCAAAATGGCATCTTGAAAACTGAGTCCTCTCCATTTAAATCACTGGTCTCCAGTAACCCACCAAATCTACATCTTAAACTGTGTGCTTGAAAGAGCATGTTTAATCCCGGGAAGAGGGTGGAAGGAGAAAGGCTGATCCTGGTCCTGGCTGGGAGAGAACTAGTCTGGAAGCTGAAGGCTGGGGCAGGTTGGCCTTCGCAGGTAACAAGGCTGAGTCATGAGCAGAGGTCAGTTCATCCTGCCCAACAGGTATCTGATCACAGGTTTGCCTGCAGACCCCCAAAACAAAAGATAGGATAAGTCTGCAGCCTACCGGCACTTGGAAAGACTGAGATGTAAGCCCAAATGTCTGAGCCCTACTGGACACTGCCTAGTCTATAGTGCCAGGGAAACCATCCTGCCTTCTGGGTCTCAGTGTCCATGTCTGTAAAATGACATTCCACTCTGCTGCTTCAAACTCTCAGGGGGCTTTTCTATCCACTTCGGATGCAAACTCAGGCCCTCCCAGGGTCATCTAGTTCTACCTGATTTGGATCCACACCTTGCCCACTCTGCCCTAGACCCACTAGCTTTTGCTCTGAGCCTCGGACAAACTCCTTCCACTCAGAACCTGTGCATGGGCTGCTCAGGCACCTAGGACACCTTTCCTGCATCCCATTTCCATGTATGTCTCATCGTTTAGGGTCTAAAACATTGTTCCTCTCCTCTTCTCCTCTCTCATAGGATTCTACTTTTGCCCTTCTCACTACTTGTCACAAATTGTCATTAAATATTCAATTGTAAGTTTACTTCATTTATTCCTTCAGCCAAAAACATGTGGAGCAGCTGCTCCATACAGGCAGGCACCATTCTGAGCTCAGGAGAAAGTACTGGTGACTGCTGGCAAGGTGCTTGTTCTCATGGAGCTTAGTCTCTGGAGGGAATGACAGACAGGGGAGAATTCAGCCCAGCAGTAAAGAACACACATGGAAAATGTTCGATTGCCATCATCCCTGGGCAGAACAGCACACCTAACAGGGTGCTATGACAGAAGCCCCGCCTTAGCAAACAGTTACAAGGACTGCCCTGAGGAGGTGACACTTAGGCAGAGAGCTGAAGGTGGGAAGGAGTCAGTCTTAGGAAAATGCATTAAAACTAAGTTGGCCAAAAAGTCTTTTGGTTTCTTCCATAAGATCTTGCAGAAAACTCCAATTGAAACTTTTATCCAACCCAGTATTCAGGTACCAAATTAGGAGTTGCTTGGGCTTTGTTCATCAATGTGTCACCAGTCAGTCCTGCTTTTGAGCACATAGTTGGTGCTCTCTAAATATGTGTTGATGAATGAATGGATGATTAGATGCACGAATGGGTGGATGGATGAATGGGTAGAAGGATGGATGGATGGATAGAAGAATGGATGTACAGATGAATGGACGAATGGATGGATGGATAGAAGAATAGTTGGATGGGTGGATGGAAGGATGGATGGATGGATGGATGGATGGATGGATGGATGGATGGATGGATGGATAGATGGATGGATGGATGGATCAATGAGGTCTTAGGGTTGTGATGAGACTGTCATGAGCTATTGAGGTGGGCTGCTGGTCAACCATGGGGTTCTAAGTAGTGATCCCCCTGGGTAGAAGCCCAAGTCACCTGGTTTCAAGGTGCTTCACCACCTTCTGCCCTCTTCCCACTGCTCTTGCTTGGCTGCTCTGCCAACTTTACCAAACTTAATCAGTTTCCTCTCTTCTCCAGGCGCATTAGACTGTTCAACGAGATTTTGGACTTCGCAATCAACCTCGTGAATGAGGTATTGTCCCTGGTAACACAGTACGAGGTGAGTCCCCCCACTCCTGGGGTGCAGAGCCAGGCCTGGTGGGGTCAGGTGTGACCTTCCCTGGCTCGGCTGTACTCTCTGGGCACCTTCCTTTTTGAGGGGCCAACTTCCTTGGGGCAATCAATTGCTACCTGTCCCACTTCACTCACCCTGGCCTGGGGAGGAGGTGAACAGGGGTGTGACCTGAGCTGAAATCACTGGGTCCCACACTTGAACCATTTAAAATACCCATGGACTGCCAGTAGACCTTATAGCTAATGTCTGTCTTCATTCAACACAACTTTAATTCATTTAAATTAAAAAAAGACTGTACATACTGTAGTTCAGATTCATATGCATCATATGAGAAAACCATATGTACCATGTTCCTGAAATTCGAAAGATTCTTTATTAGTCAACTCTGGTAGGGGGCTGGGACTCTGGCTTTATTTTTAAAAAGTCCTCCATGTTGTTCTTTGATTTACTGAACTTGAGTCACACTCAAAGTGTGTTCCTCAGATCAGCAGCACTGGCCTCTCATGGGCACTCATTAGAAATGGATAATAGAGACTCAGATAATACCCCAGATCTGTTGCTCAGTAATCTGCATTTTAACAACATCCTCAGGGAATTGTAGACACATAAAATTGTGGGAAACAAAAAAACACTTCTCTGTGGTTCCCAGGGCCCCATTTAACTCTATAAAGTTTCAGAGTCCAGTGGTCAAGGCTTCTAAGGGCATAGTGTTCTGCAATGTTAAAAGTCTAGATTCTCCAAGGTTCTAGGATTCTAATGTTCTGAAGTTTTAGGACCCTAGTGCCATCTGGTTCTCAGATTTGGACCTTATAGGTTTCCACTGTTCTAGAACCCTAAGGGTCAGAAGTTCTGAGGCCCCCAGTACTGCATCTCTGTGGGTGGCAGGCAGGGAGCTCACAGCAGGTAATAACCAGTCCTCCTCCTTCTCCCAACTCTCCTCTCCCTCCTCACCTCCCAACCACTTTCTTTCCTTCCCTCTCTCCATTTCTCTCTCTTGTGTCTCTCTCTTTCCCTGGCTCCTTGTAAACCTCAGGTGTGCCCACGAGTCCGCAGTTTCCTTGAAAGCCTGGATGTGGATTATGTTAAGAGCCGCATCGGTAAGTCACAGCCTGGGGAAGCGGGGAGGAGGCTCCCTGTGGAGCCTAGCAGGGGAGGGCATGCTGCTCTATGCCTGCCACACCGGAGAAGCTGAGGACCCTTCAGTGTGAACAAGTCGGAAAAGTGTGGCCGTGCAGTCTGATGGCCTCTGTGGGCCTCTGAGGGCTTCTATTGCCCTCCTTTGTCACACTGGCAGAACCTCCTGCCCAGAATGATGTGACAAAGAGGATGGGCCATATCTGGGTTCAAAACCTGGATGTTCTCTTAGCAACTGTGAGGTCGGGGTCAACTGCATCTACCTCTCTGAGCCTCGGGTTCCTCCCAAGTAAAAGGAGATTGCAAACGCTGCCGAGCTGATCAGTGAAGATTTAAAGAAAAAGCAGAAAGAGTTTAATATCCAGTAGGCATTTTTAATAAACACAGCCCCTTCCCTTTCACTTTTTATAAGAGGACGTAGCTTCACCTCCAACCTCTGGAGGCTCTTCTTGACCTGGATCTCTGGCAACACTGGGGTTGCTGGGGCTGAGGAGCAACAGAAATGGGGTGAGTAACAGTGTCAGGGTCCTGGAGGCAGTCTTTCTAGAAAATAGCCGCAGACCCAGTTCACTGGGCCTTTGCTCAGTGCTTCTTATATACTATCTCACTGTATCCTTGCAATGACCCTGTGGGGACGGGTTGTGTCATCATACCCATTTTACAGATGATCTAACTGAGGCTTAGAGATGGAGTGACATGGAAGATGTCCCGTGGCTGTCAAGTCTGACCTGCTGGACCGTTTCAGCCATTAGTGTACGATTTCTATTCAGCTTCTAGTGCTGGAATCTGAGAACTTCTACTGATTTGTTCTTTCAGATGAGCTTTATGAAAACCAACAGAAAAAGTGAAGAGCACAGGTGAAAACCTCTGTGATGCGTGCCTGCTGGTGAGGGCCGGGCTCTGGGCCCTGGGCTACGGGAGGATAAACACCCCCACCCCCCACCCCACACACACCCACAGGGGCCTGTGGAGGAGCAGAAGCAAAGCTGGCTTCTCCTCTTTCTCTAGTAGCAGACTGAGCCCTGATCTCAGTCACACACCGAGTCCTGACCCTTAATCGCACATCCAGACTGCACTTGATTCTGCTCCCTGACTGAGTTCAGAACACAGTCAGACATAGCCTTCACTCCACTTGATGACTGAGCCCTGACACTGGTCATGGATAGAGCGCCGACCTGTATCTCAGTCTGATCCCTGATCCTGGTCATACACTGAACCCTGAACCCTGGCTCCTCTGGGCCTTGCTTAGTCTTTCCACATTGGTCACTGTTGCTAAAGTGACGGGGTGGGAGGGTGAGGGGATGAGGAGGGGTCAGTGCTCGGTGCCAGAGAAAGACCCCAAACCACAGGTGCCAGTCCCTCCTAAAGCCTCAGGGCTCACAGGGTTTGGGGGAAGCACTCCTGCTGCCGTGTCTGGTGAACGCAGGAGCCGGTAAGGGCCCCGGGGTGTCCATGCCTCACACCGTGGTCTCCTTCCAGATTGGTTCCTGGGGACGTGACTGAATCTCTGTACCGTCTCCCTCTGGGACGATTGGTGCTGCCACCATTCCCCAGGAGTGACAACAGAACCCAGTCAAAGGACACCTCTCGGTCAGGACATCCTGTGTTCCTCACCCTCCACCCCCAGCAATAAAAAGCCATTTCTGCACCTGCTGTGTGGCCGTTGCACTCCTTCCACTGGGATTTCAGGGAAGGCGAGGTATGGGCAATTAGGGCAGCAGTGATGTGGATCTGTAGCTGGAAGGGAACTTTGGGATTATCCAGCCCCACTTCTGTGTCTTAAAAATAGGATCACTGAAGAAGGTGATCCAAGTTCACTGGAGACAGCCTCATTATGCTTCTGCTAACACCACCGCCATGTTGGAGGGCTGCCTTCACCAGCACACCTGAACTCATGACCTCCTCATAGGACCCTTCTGCAGGAGACACCAATCTTGTCCCCATTGGACAGATGAGGAAACTGAGGCTCATAAGGACAAGTGACATATTGAGGTTACAGGGTAACAACTGGCAGGACTAGGTTTTAAATCCATGGGTATGGGATCTCTTGCTCAGAGAGGAGACATCCCCCTGAGTACTCAGCCACCTCTCCCCAGCCCCGAGCAGGTCCCGCTGTCCTGGCCCTGATCTCTCCCGCCCAAGACTGATGAGGTTTCTCTCATGGCCCTTCTCAACATGCAAGCCCTCAGCTTCCCCTTTACCCTGGAACTGGAGCACAGAGCCCTTTACTCACAGCCGTGTCACCTTGGCAGAGGACAGACCCAGGCTATCACCTCAGGGACCCTGGGCCTCTCCTTTTCAGGGTGCCATCTGGCTTACCTGCCCAAAGGGCCAGAGAACATTTACCCATCTTGCCATGAGCCATCTCACTGCTGTGTGCAATTCTGTGAGGGCAGAACCACTGTCATCCTCATGGGAGACTCGGGGTAAGAGAGGCCAGGGTCACACAGAGGCCCGAACCAGCGCTGCTTCACTCAAGGGCCTTCTGTCTGAAGGATGCCCCACAAGGTCAAGTCACCGTAGGAGGCCCTTGAGCCCCTGGGGCAGCTTGGTCCGGGGGGCCTTGGAGCAGCTCTCCTAAGAGACATCAGTTCAGGCTGTGCCGGGGCTCCTGACACACGTGAGGTGAGAGGTTGGACAGAGCTGAGCATGACCTGGCCTCGGCTGTTGCCAGCTGTGTGATCTCAGCCAACTTACTTAACCTCTCCGAACCACAGTCCTCAAACCTGCCCAATGGAGTTAACAGCAAAACCTCCCTCGTTGTGTGGACGTGAGAATGAAATGAGTCAATGAATGGAAAGTGCTTTACCAGAGTCTGACTCTGGTGAGCACAAATGAATGTCAGCCTCTACACACTGGAGTCACTGCTAAATGGTGTTGAGAAATTCTGTATTAAATCTTTATACACTGTATCTCACTCAATTCTGATTTCTACCGAGTGATGCAGTGAATGGTTCTTGGAGTAGGCGTGGCAACTGAGTCTCAGAGAGGTGAAGTGACTTCTCCAGGGCAACACAGCCTGTCAGAGGCAAAACTGGATTCCATTGGAAGTCAGAGCTGGTGCTTCCTCTGCTGGCCATAGCAAAGAGATGAGAGTTTTCCTCTCTATCTTATTTTGTGACAAGACCAACTCCCACAATAGCACACAAGAAGCTCTCACAGTTCAGGGCTTCTCTTGAGCAGTAGCCCACTCGGGTCAGTGCTGAGCCTTTGTCCAGGCTGTTCCACCCCCTGGTCATTATTCCTTCCCTCCCTCTAGCTTCTCAATCTTCCTCTGCCCACCACTCTGCTCAGGACCTGGCTCCTGGTAAGTGGGGGCCACTCCTCAATGTTGCCCTGACAAAGAGACCATGTTTTCCAACTGGTAGGTCTACCCAAGCTACCTTGTCATCATTGTCCCATACAGACAGAGGGTTCAGGAAGTGTCAGCTCTCATAAAAAACGTTTACACTTTTTTAGTCATCTTTTTCCCATTTTTTGGTAAGAACAAAATTGACATTCATCACTGTATAAGTTGAAGCCAACAGTTTGATTTCTGTGTACCATGAAGTGATTATGACAATTGATTAAGCTAACATTCAAGTTCTCGTATAGATACAGTAAAAAATGAAGAAAAAAAGAACAACAGTTTTTCCTTGTGATGAGAACTCTTAGAATTTGCTCTCTTAACAAAGTTTCTATATATCATACACCACTGCTAGCTATAGTCATCATGTTGTATATTATATCCCTAGTATTAAAATATGAGGAAGAGTAGCAATAAATGCCTATATAAAGAAGCAAGAAAAACCCAAACAACCTACTTCTATACCTTAAGGGATTAGAAAAAGAAGAATAACTAAGCCCTAGGTTACCACTGAAACAGTACAATAAAGATTACAGCTAGAGTAAATTACATAAGAAGAGAAAAATAATTTAAATATTAACCAAACTAATATTGGTCCTTTGAAAATGTAAAAAAAAAAAAGAAAAAAGCCCTTAGCTAGATCTCATGACTCACAAGGGGGCTTTAGGTCTTCACATGTTGCCTGGATCTGATTTGTCCTCAAGATAGCATTTATATACAAATATTTTGGCAAAGCTCACTAGAAAAAGAAGCTGTACAAAGGGGAATATATTGTTATAGTGCCTTGATCCAAGTGTACCTGAAGTCCTCCTTGCCACAAAAATTCCTGTTCAAATACATTTCTCACTTCTTATTTTTTATTTTTATTGAAGCCGGTGTGATTCAGCTCCTGCCATTCCAATCTACAGGAAGTCCTGGAAACATATTTATAAACTCATGTCTTCCTCCTCCAACCTGATCCCTACTCGGGGGTCACACAACCACACTGGAAACACAACCGACATCAAAGCCACACAGAGCTTAGAGGTCGTCATTTTAACCTCTTTGCTGGAAAGTCTAGGGAGACTGTGGCCCAGGTGAATGGCTTGGCACTGCGGGTGCATATTCACCGTTGGTGCTCACGACAACCCACTTAGTAGGCATGGAAAACCTCACTTTCCAGCTGAGGATACTGAGGTCCAGGGAAGGGAGGTGGCTGGTCTAGGTCTCACAAGCACAGAAAACCAGCATTTGCCTGCACAGGAAAGGTCAGGTCATACTGAGGACAGCTGATGGGGCAGGAGAGTCCTTGGACTTGAATATGTTTATTCCCCGATGTCTGCTGTTTGAGTTGGTTGTTACGCCTGGTGGATTGGGCCCATGTCAACACGGAACACCTGGTCCAGGAAGCCCAGATGGGTGCCCACTTGGCAGCAGGCTTATAGCACCAGCAGAGACCTCTGGGTCACCTGTGTCCATCTCGTCCGGTCCCCCACCTGCATCTCAGTAGGAACCGGATGAACTCAGCGAGGACAAAGTACAGGCAGGGCTGGAGGCTTGAGGAGCCAGCCTTCCTCACCGTAACTGTGCTCCCACCATCAGAGCACAGAGCAGGGGGAGGGTGGCAGCCCAGGTGCCCAAGCCCGGTGCTGGGACATGGAGGACCCCATCCAGCAGGGCCTTGGATCCGTCAGCAGACCACCCTCCACACTGTCTGAGCCTGGTTTGTACACATCTGAGGTCCCTCTTCCCCTGGTTGTGGGCACAGAGCTGAGGGATCTGAGGAAAATCTTGTGGAGAGACTTGTTCTCACCTCAAGACTGCAACCCAGGGGGTGGGGAGTGATGTAATGAACTCAGACCTGGAGTTGGCCCCAGGCTTCCGCTGCCTCATTGTAAAATGGGTAAACAACATGGTACCTGGATCCCCGTGGCAAAACGGAAATTAAAAGGGTACCAAGGGGACGGTGGTCAGACCTCAGTTCTGGATTTGGGCAGACTGGTTTCTAATCCTCTCTTTCCCTGTTGCTGGCTTGAGGCCTGGACAAGGGACTTCATCTCCCTGAAACTCAGGTCCCTAGTGTGCAAAGTGAGACCAAATATGGGAGTCTCCTCCCAGGTGTGCTGTGAGGATGTGGAGGGATAGTGTGTGTAGGCTCCGAATACACGGTTACAACACTGATGATGATACTATAATTACACCTCAGGTGTCCCATCTGTACATGACCCCACTGCCCAGGGTTATGGAGAGGATGAAGGGAGGAGATCACGCATCCAATATGCTTTATCCTTAATCAATGGAAACCAGATTTCTTATTTTGTGCACTATAAAGACCACATGACCTAGATGGGCTCAGACTTCCCGAACACCTGTGTGAATAAATCCTGGCTCCCTGGTGACTGGTGTATAAGCTTTGGGAGGTGCAGTTCCTCACTAAGCCTCAGCTTCCTGTCAGGACCATGTTAGAGATTCCAAGAACTCTGGTATCATGTACACCTGACGAATTGTAGGGACTGGATGGAG